CCCCTCCCCTCCCCTCCCCTCCTCTCTCTATCATCAAATAGAGCTAGTGAGCTCTATAGTGTACTCGGGTACGCGTTCCCTATACTAAACTATAGAAAACTACGGCCCGTGACGGAGAAAAGGAAGGCAAACAAATATTTGTTTTTCTGACTCTTTCCTACTTGTAACAGTACAACAACATTAGCCAGGCAGTGAATTCCTAACAAAGAAAATGCAAGAAAGTACAATCTTTACATTAGAGTGTCATTGTCTAGAAATTGGGACATCCTCGCTCTACGGTGGCTCACGTATATTATAAAAAGCTCACTGAATAGATTAGTTATTTTATATTATATATATTGTATATATATAAATATAATATTATATTATTTATATATACATTATATAATATTATATAATATATATGGTATATTATATCTACGTAAAACAGAGATAAAAAAGATTTAAAAAACTTACAATATAAAACTATGAATCTCCGATATATAGAAGCTCGATTGAGGCTGCGGTCCACTTGCTTCTTTCAAATGCTCTGAACATTACGCTCCGATTGGTCCATTACTGTTTCGAATGCTACAATTGCTACGTGAACGCTCCAGTCAACCCATCTTCTGAGGTGACGCAGTTGGAGCGAAGCGGGAGCAAAAACGATGACGTATTAATGACGTAATCAGAGTTGCTAGGAGCGTTCCGAAATATCAAATGGACCAATCATATCAGTGCTACAAATGCTCTGTAGCGTTTGAAGCGCGAAGTGGACCGCAGCCTAAAAGCCGTGTTTAAAGATCACAAATAAATGAATTAAAAAGTAGAGGAAGTTGCAAGAAAGTATAGAAAGAAAAAACTCTATAGAGAGAGAGAGAGATAGAGAGGAATAAACCTGAAAATAAAATGTTTTTTATAAGGTCTTGAACTTTATTCAAATTTCATAACGATACGATCAAGGATTAATATTGAGACGCATAATGGAAATAAATTGTTTCGTACACATATTTTTTTTAACATTTTTGATATCAATTAATAAATTGACATTTAAGAACTCAGATCGGAAACGTCCTCACTCGTCATAGTCGCGCCTGTTCCCGACGTTGCAGAATCTGATTCTACGTCGGAATCGTCTCTCTTGCTTCTAGAACGTCTGCTTTCTTTTCTTCCCTGAAACATAAATATCTATATGTTATCTAAGATTTATCACAGATTATAAAATTAGTAAAATTGTCATGCTCTAATTTTGCATTTTTAAATAACATAAACATTAAATGTATGTATCAAACTTTTTATGAATTAATGATTAACTGAACATATAATAATTAAATGACAAAATTTAAGAAAATACAAAAATTATATAGAACTTTAATTTTGCTAAAAATATAAGAAGTGTCAGTGAAAGCTTATTTAATAAACAAACCTCTCGTTCATTCTTTTTCTGGTCTCTTTGATTTTCGAGTTTCTTTGAAGAGTCACTGCTATTAGGCTTATTTTGCTGTATACTCTTAGTATTTTGTTGCGATCGTTGCTGCGTCAACTTGGCCGCTTCTACGTAGGGCATCTTCTCCGTGGACGACATTTTCCGCCATGCTTGTCCCCCAAGACGAAACAGATCTCTGCTCTTTATCTTATTATAATTCTGTAATTTGATTGTTATGCTTACATAACGTTTGCATTATCCCCGTCATTTTTGCATTTCGTTACCTGCCTAAAGTCTTGCATAAAATTTAAAAAGGCATTCGCGCTTCTCCATTGCCTTCTTTGCAGAGGCTTACTTGATCTTGATCTTGATCTCGTGCGGGATGGCTTTCTGTCATGTTGGCTGGAATCTGTTCTGTCCAAACGTATACTTCATACAATTATTAAAAATGAGAAATAACGATAAGAGTAAACGATAAATATTTTCAAAAGTTTGATCGAACCTGATATTTTTTATAATACATACTGTATTGAAACAGAAGCATTAAGGGTCTTATTCGTAGTCATGATTCAACTTGAGATCCGATTTAAGCTACGTTTGAATCAGTTTTTCATTTAAAAAACGCTTCTCGAACTACGATTTAATAAATCTGATTGGTTCAAACTTTGGTTCAAACCTAGCTCGTCTGAAATGAGGATCAATTATGGATTGATCTAAGATTATGAATACGGACTTAAGGGTCATATTCGCAGTCATGATTCAACTTGAGATCCTCATTTGAGCTAGGTTTGAATCAGTTTTTCATTTGAAAAATGCCTCTCAAACTACGATTTAATAAATCTGACTGATTCAAACCTAGCTCACCTGAAATAAGGATCAATCGTGGATTGATCTTCGACTATGAATGCAGATCTAGTAGTAAAATAATCAGATAGATATTAATATATATGTAAAGTAACAATCTGAACTCTGGAGTTATTCTGTCATATAGCTGTCTTATTACATCTTAATTACGGATCATTTATGTTTACGTAACTCACTCGTCTCGCATGCGTTTGCGACTGGAGGAAGGTCTTGATAGCTGTTGGTACTGATTATCAGAACCTCTTTCTTGTTGCCCTGCAGCTCCATCCTCTTCTATGCCTCCCGTTACTTCATTAATTTCTTCTCTTCTATTATCATCTTCCATGATTTAATAATGATCCCAAAAAGATATATTTGCTTTATCAATATTTACGTATGCATCATTCTTATTTATCGATAAAAAGTAATTCAGAAGCAAGAATTTGTCTCTGCAATCGAGAAAATAAAACGCGAATTTTTTCACCGTGAAAATAACAAATGTCATTGCTAGGAATGCTAGGTTGCTATGCAGTTGAAATTGCCGTTTATCGTCAGACTTGATTTTTAAATGTCGCAATTATCTTTTTTTAATATAAATCTTCATGACGGACTCTGTTTTAAGTTGATAATCTTGGATACTTTAAACCTGAAATAATTCAATTGCATCTTCGATAATTTAAACGTGAAATAGAGTTACGAATTATAATGAATATCTAGAAGATCTTCAAAATTCTACTTTTTATAATATATATTATATATATATAATATATATTAACATTTAATTTATAAAACAAGTCTAATCTTGAAGTCATCTTCATAAAAATCTATTATTTATTTCATTATGTCATTTATGACATTTATTTAATATAAACTCCACATTTTTAAATCTCTAAAGATTTAAGATATAAGTTTTGAAAAACCTACAGTGTCATTGCAATATTAATAAAAATATGCAAAATTAATAAATAATATGTATTACAATAATATTTATAAAAATTAATTAAAACCTTTATTTTTTCTATCAGGCAAGATCTATCAACGCGCTTTTGGTGGTCAGTCCCTTAAGTTCGGCAAGGGTGGTCAGGCTCATAGATGCTGTTGCGTAGCTGACAGGACCGGCCATTCATTGCTACACACACTTTATGGACAGTCGCTAAGCTACGATTGTAATTACTTCGTCGAGTATTTCGCCCTCGATTTGCTGATGGAAGACGGCGAATGTCGCGGTGTGATCGCGCTCTGCTTGGAAGACGGGACGTTGCATCGTTTCCACGCCAAAAATACAGTGCTCGCTACCGGTGGCTATGGGCGCGCCTACTTTTCCTGCACATCCGCACATACTTGTACTGGAGATGGTACCGCTATGGTCTCCAGGGCTAATCTACCTAATCAGGACCTAGAATTTGTGCAATTTCATCCTACAGGTACATATCTTAATATACACTATCACTCAATTATTTGCACGGATATTTTATACTTTACTGCAATTTTAAAAGCCAAGTAAGTATCTCTCTCTCTCCTTTTCTCCCTCCCTTCCCCCCCCCCTCTCTCTCTCTCTCCCATACTGTTGATAATATAAATAATATTTTATTAGAATGATTATCTATATTAATAATAATATGGGATACTTATTTAGCTTTTAAAATCAAAGTAAAATATGTATAAAATAGCTGTTGTTCGAATAATTATGGTAGTGTATATTTAATACACAGAATAATTATTGCTCCAACATAGCACAAAAAAATCTTTGATATATATTCAAGTATAATTATTTTTTAATATTTTATGTATGATAGGAAGAATTAATTACGTAGTTCTTTAATTTGCATTAACCAAAACACGTCGCATTCATTTCAGGTATCTATGGCGCCGGATGTTTGATTACAGAAGGTAGTCGTGGCGAAGGTGGTTATTTAATAAATAGTGAGGGTGAAAGGTTCATGGAGCGTTATGCGCCGGTAGCAAAGGATCTGGCTTCGCGAGATGTGGTGTCTAGATCTATGACAATGGAGATTAGAGAGGGCAGGTGAGTCATCGGCCAACAAAAATCGTTTTTTATTGCATCTTTGGATATATTCGTGGTAAATATAGTTTTTTATCTCTGCTTAGAGGCGTCGGACCAGAGAAGGATCACATTTACTTGCAGCTACACCATCTGCCACCTGAACAACTGGCCGCACGGCTACCAGGTATTTCGGAGACGGCAATGATATTCGCTGGCGTCGATGTAACCCGGGAACCCATTCCCGTCATCCCCACCGTCCATTATAATATGGGTATGAATATAAATAATTGAAGTATTAAGGCTGTTAATACCTAAGATGCAACCTTCAGAACAAAAAAGATACTTAATCGTGGTTTATAATTAATACTCTGTATTAAAATATTATTGAGAAGTGAGAAATATTTGTATATATGCATATTACATCTGCATAACATTCATTGTATTAATGAAAAAATTAATTTAATTTTCTCTTCGCAATGAAAATGAAACTCCATTAAAATAGCTGTTGTCATGCAACGAGTTTTTTTTCCGTAATTAAAATTATGTACGATGATTATAATTGAAAGTCCTGACATTCTTCACCATGATGATTGGAGTTGTCACGATTAAGTTTCTTTTTAGCAAGAAAATATTTTGATAAAATAATTTATCAAATGTGACAAAGAGTACTTCTTTAATAAGATTTAATTATTTATTATATACAAATTATTTTGTTTTACTTGCAATAATTTTTCTGTGAAAGAGATTGGTCTAGTAATATTATATTGCTAATTGCAGGAGGAGTGCCGACAAATTACAAAGGTCAAGTGTTGACCAGAGAGAACAATCAAGACAAAATAGTACCTGGCTTATATGCGTGTGGCGAAGCAGCTTGCGCGTCCGTTCACGGTGCTAATCGACTGGGTGCTAATTCTCTATTGGATTTAGTCGTATTTGGACGTGCTTGTGCTAAAACTATCGCTCAAGAAAACAAGCCTGGCGAGGCGATTGGACCCCTGAGACCTGTAAGTTTTTACCACTTCAGATAAGCTCTCTATGAACATTATATATATACAGGATGTTAGTTAAGTATGTTCCCAAACTCAACAGAGCGATTCTTTGGTTTATTTCAAGTAAAAAAGTCCATATAAACATGTATCCTAAACGGCTCAATTTCCGAAATAAAAAAATTTAAATGGTGTAGTAATAATCTGTTTATTTGAAAGAAATACAACTTGAACTAGTCAAAAACTAGTCAAAAACAGAAAAACAAAAATAGGCTTCAATTCTTCTGATGAAATAAAACAATTAAATGAATTGTTGAAAATGTCCATCTTACGCCATGATACATCCATCGAGCCTTCTTCTCAAAGATTGACGTACACGCTCAAAGATACCAGGTGTGTTACGTGTTGCCTCGCATGAAGCAACTATTCGATTCCTCAAATCATTCTCATTCTCAATTGGGGTGGGCATATCTGCCATTTCAAAATTTGTAAACTTAGGCATGATGAAATCGATTTTGATGGATTAAAACAATTTGGCCCGAAAACGTATGTACAAGCTAACTGACCCTCAGCAACATCAGGACTGAAGTCTATTTTTGATTTTGTGACTTTGACTTTGACTTTGTCACTTTGTTTACGGTTGTGCGAATAGTACCTCACATGAAGCAAGGCATATTTATGCAGGAAAATATCTCCAACGCAATTTATCGTTTCGTCAAACATTTGCGAACATTCACCTGTATTTCGGAAACTAAGTCGTTTAGGACACATGTTTATATGGACTTTTTTACTTGAAATAAACCAAAGAATCGCTCTGTTGAGTTTGGGAACATACTTAACTAACATCCTATATATATAAATTGTATTTTTATTGTAAGATAAATGTGTGTTACTTGCTTATATGTTTTAGAACGCCGGCGAAGAGACGGTAGCTAATTTAGACTGGATCAGAAATGCCAACGGTTCCATCTCCACCGCGGAATTAAGACTAACCATGCAGAAGACTATGCAAACGCACGCGGCAGTTTTCAGAGACGCCGAAAGTTTGCAGGAAGGTAAAAATTAAAAGATCATTGATGTTTCATTCGTATACAATTGCGCGTCGAATTTACGAATATTATGTAGCATAGCATTGGAAATATTATTATGTATTTATTTCACAGGCTGTCGGAAAATGTCCAATCTCTACAAAAAACTGAATGAATTAAAAGTCGCAGATAAATCTTTAATATGGAATTCCGATTTGATAGAATCGCTTGAGCTGCAAAATCTCATGATCAATGCAATGCAGACTATCATTGGGGCGGACAACAGAAAGGAGAGTCGCGGTGCGCATGCTCGCGAGGATTACAAACAAAGAATCGATGAATATGATTATAGTAAATCGATCGAAAACCAACAACCAAAACCTGTCAATCAACATTGGAGGAAGCACACGCTGTCAAAGATTAATCCGAAAACAGGAGAGGTATATTTTTCATTTATTATTTACAGATAGAGATGAAATATTGATATTTTTACTGTCCACGAATAATGTTTTTCTCGTTTTTTAAATTTTTAACTTTGTATCTTTTACTCAATATTTACATTAACTAATTAGATTTTTATTATCGTTCTTCATTTTAATACTTCCAATCAATAACTTCTGTTTCACAACTTCTAATCCTATTTTATTAATTTAAGGTATCTCTCGACTATAGACCGGTGATTGACGTTACGCTCAGTCAACAGGAATGTGCGACGGTTCCGCCAGCGATTCGTTCCTACTAGGCTAATTCTACAGACAATACTAAAATCCATCGCTTTAGGACTCTCATCACCGAATTTTGTTCTCAGCGCAATTTTGTTCTTGATCATAGCCTAATATTAAGCATTACTTAGATCGAGCGCAAAGAAATGGTCGCAACGACGATTTTTACGCTAGAACTATTGTTGCGCAGGAAACCTATTAATTAATTTATTTCATACATATACATACACGTACGAACTTCATTATGCACCAAAGTTGATTCTTGTCACTCGCTTGCGCCGCGAGTCGCGCGAGCAGGATTAATGGTCCTCGTAGGATGCCGGTGCTGAGATTATTGTCCTCTCGTTTATATGAGGGAGTACGCATGATCTCGATCAGCGGAATCGCCACTCAGTTCAATAAGTAATAGTCGAAACTAGAACAATTCGCGGTAACGGAAGAAGGTTCATATATAGGACCTTTTCAGGAAATGTGCGTTTTCTCTCCTGTAATATAGTACAATTCCGGTTACGACACGTTCTTAATGCGCCATCTCAAGCCATAGTATAACGTATTCTCGCGTGCAGTGGTAACAAAACATCAAGGAACTTAATTGAATATTATTTTACTTAGATTACAAATTTATATAGAGTAAGACTTTGATGCTGACAGTATATTAAGTATGATAAAATTTTTAATAAAGGCTTATTAAGAATTCCGTTGGCAGGAATACGTTTCTTGGATTAATTAAATATTTCAAAAAACTCTTAAAATAATTAATTGTTAATATTAATTAATTATTCACCATCTATGCACTTTGTAAGTGATTATTAGAAAATCATATAGTTAAATCTTTATAATTTTTATCTCTAAATGAAACATTAACATCTCAAGTTATTACTACACGCGATGGTACTTTAAATACAGAACCATTAAACTTCGTAAAAACTTTTTTTTTTCGATTGATTTGATATTTATTACAAGTTTATACAAGTATTTTTACGATTTTAGACATATACAAGAATTGTTTCAAATATTTATTTTTAAATCTTCCTTTTTCATGACATATGCTCTTGCAGAGAATCAATTGACAGAGTAAAAATGAGTTAATATTTATGATACTTAATAATAGTGATAATTTATGTTATTGCTCTGTATATTTTTGCTTGAAAAGTGATCGAATAATCGGAATTGATCTATAGGTATCATTTACGCCCGAGTACGATTATGAGCATATAATATTTAAAAGTATGTCTTTTCTCATATTTTTTATTGCGGTTTGTATACTTAAATATCTTATAAGACAACATAGAAGATATTAATATTATTTTTATAGAATATACATACACTATTGTCGAAAAGTTTCCGGATATATAACTTAAAATTGTATAATATTCAGGTTTCCAAACTCTTGAAAAAAAATTACGATAATCTTATCTCTTTAAATTATTTTGAAAACTAATTTTTGTTGACAAAATAAGTTAATAAATAATATATAACAATAAATCGTTTTTATAGCTCTACAACCACAGATAAACTGTCGTCGAAAAGTTTCCCGACATGGAACTTAAATTTGCATAATATTCGGGTCACCGTAATTCGGTAAACAATTATCGCAGACAAAAAATAAAAAAGCAGTCAAAGCATGCTAAAGTATAAGTTTCAAGCTTTAACATGCTTTTTTATTTTTTTTTGTCTGCGATGGTTTTTTACCGATAAATGTCAATAAGTGGTTATCGATTAAAACAGAAAGTTTTATTCAAAGGCATACACCACAAGATGTTTCTCGCTAGAATTTTATATTACTATCAATTAACAATAAACCTTTCGGCCTCAAATTAGGTCATCTTCAGTATTAATATCAATCTTCGTAAGTTTAAGCATTTATATATACATGTTTATTTAAAGAGCACAAGATTAAGTTGTTTCCCGTTTTGCATAGTAACCTTAATTCTACGAAACCGTTCGTCATATTCGATACAATAATATTATAATAAAATTTAAAGTAGTTAGCAATTATTTAGTCATGTGCTCCAGAAGAATTTGTCCATTACAAACAATCCACACATTTTCAAAACTCATCCTTATTATTGCACACATAATTTCCTGATTCTAATAAGCATACATATATTATTTAATTAGTTCTCGTGATAATACTAACAATTAATAGAGCCTTTGAATAAAGCTATTTTTTACCGAATTACGGTGACTTGAATATTATGCAATTTTAAGTTTTATGTCGGGAAACTTTTCGATGGCAGTGTATCTGTGGTTGTAGCGCTATAAAAACTATTTATTGTTATATATTATTTATTAACTTATTTTGTCAACAAAAATTTGTTTTTAAAATTTAAAGAGATAGGATTATCGTAATTTTTTTCCAAGTTTGATAACAAATATTAAATAAACATAAAAAGGAATGATAAGGAATTAGATTATGAGTTAAAAAATTATAATTATCGTGTGATATTTCAATTTTATCGATTAAACTCCTATGTTGCCTTTCAACATCGTACTGATATTATGTACTTCATAAAATGTGAGTTGAGTACTTAAAATATTAAAACACGGCAGAGTTACAAAATACTATTATAGTCTCGATTTGTAAAAAGATCGTGTAAGCGTGTTGCCTGGCATGATGAAAATGTACATAAATCGTAAAAAAATATCAATAAAGCGTTGATACACCTTTTACTCAATAGAACTAAATCATTTACTAATCAGTAGATTATTTATTCTTCATAATTGTTAATCTGATGAGTAGAGATATGATGCTGGATTACAAAATAATCTCATGAGACTGTTTTGAATTAAATAGATTAATTCTGACACAAGAGCAACCCAAGAGCAGTATTATATTTTCTCTAATGAAAAACATCGAAATATAAAATAAAGAGAAAAGATGTCAAATATATATATCAATTCACATTTCCCTCTTGGAAAATGATCTTGATTCGGTAGAAGAAGGAACAAAACAAAGGAGATTCGTATTAACAAGTCATGGTGGATTTTTTGTAAGTATTTATTAAACCCATACTTTTGCAGTATTCGCGCGTCATAAATAAGAAGAGTTTGTAGATTAAATAAAAACTACTACCGAGGATTTTCTCTAAAGCATTAAACTAAAGCTCACCGCGAGCTAATACTCCAGACAATTTTTACACATTACAGTTTAATTTAATAAATGAGGATGTATTTTGAGATGAGCATGTATACTCGCACTCGTAATATATATATATATATATAAGCTACCGAGGGAAAAGTCAGTAAACGTCCGAAAACATATTCTTTTGTTCATACATCTCGCTAAGAAAGGCTTCGGTACGCGGGATCCTTATAAAACAATAATAAAAATCCGAAAAAGTCATTGGCACGACGTAAATGCTTTCCAAATTGACTTGACACAGAAAATTCTGCAAGCCCCATAATAACAACGATGGAATATATAAAAGCATCACATTTAATATATAAGTTATGAATATATTTAAATGAATCTGCACTTTTCTGTTATAAGGTATTTAAAGTATCGCATATGCGAATAATATTTATACTCAATATTACATGATGAAATTGTATAACTTTGATTTTGATTCTTCGACAATAAAATCTCATTGGGCACTCGCAATTTTCTTTATATCGAGTATGCAATTGTTGAATCACATGAGACATTCTCATGCACTTGGGAGTCGAGCTACTCCACCAACCACTTGGCAGAAATGCTCGGCAGGAAAGCGGACTATTTAAAGCGAGCAAGACGTATCTTTGTCGAGAAACGCTATAAATACAATCGATCTTTTTAAACTTTCATAGACCCAAGGAGATTCGTATAATTTTCCGTTACAATGCAAACGGACAATACAACTGTGTATTTTCGTACCCTTTTCTCCTCGCCGTACCAATTTCGACGCACAATAACGTTTCGAATGTCAAATTTTCTAATTGCTATTTTTGTGGAAATAATTAATTTAATAATTTTTCTCGAATTGGCAACACACCGACTGTCTATTAATCCTTAGGACTATGACGATTGAATCACGTCACGTTAACACTAAAAATCCTCGCTAAAGAGGCAAATCTTCGACTAAATTTTTATCGTATACAATCGCAAGCTCGGAATTATTTCGCCGATGATACAGTTGTGACAATTAAAAGCGAAGAATATCGAATAATTATTTACCTACAAAACACCGATACGTCGTGCTCTCGTGCGAAAATCCCGGACGGGTTTCTCGCTGTCAGATCGCTCGATCGATTAATTGTTGCCTAATAATTATCCTAGGATTCGCGTAATGCAAATTCGCGCTCTTTCGCGCGACAGAGAGGCCGAGATGTAACTTTCGTTACGTAAAAAAGTAAAGTGAAGGTCGGGCTTCTCTCGCATTGCTATAATATAGGAACGACCGAAGATTAAGCTATCGTCATTAAAATTTGTCCGAAGTCATGATATTTTTACGTGGTGCGAGTTTCGTAATTTTGATCGATACAAAAATTTGAAAACATTTGTAATAAGCAATCCGCAGTAAGAAATCGAATTTTCCACAAACGAATTAATCATTTTTTCATTGCTTTAAGTCTACAAATAAAAATTCTTTAAAACTAGATGTGTAACTAATGACGTAATAATGACGTGAATGTTATTATACACAATATAAAAATCTTTAGAATGCACACTTTCATAAAAAAAAACTCTTTTGATTGTTTTAATTTGGAAAATAGCTTTACGTCGTATTCTAAAGTGACCGATTCAGGTGCATGTGCCTTAGAATTCAAAAAAACACAAAAATTCAATTTTGTAATAAGTGTGCGAATGACAAACAATTGTTACGATGGCCAAATCAAATGGTATAAAAATATTTCGGAGTTACAATCACTGTCAAAATTAGTTGTCTGTACAAAGACATTAGCTGTTCCAAAAGATAACTATGCCAATCAAGTCTAAAAGCAAAGCTTCATTCATGTTATTCTGAGATTACACTCTTTTATTTTTTCTTCGTGTGAAATTTCATATCTTTAATTTTATACACAAACTAACAAAAAGTTTTAAAGTCATCCAGATTGAATGAGAAAAAAAAATTATCAAAGTGTACTTTCGATTCGTTCCTGCTTTTCTTGCACTTTTTTCGATATTATACATTTCTATATTCTAAATTTAAAAAAGAATGTAAGGTTCAAAAATATTTCAAAGAACAATCAAATCTGCTTCATGGATACATCGACGTATTCTTAGACAGAAAGATTTCTCTTTCACAAATTATCTATTTTTGAATTTTGCAAAAAAGCCATTTCGCAAAAAAGTTATTTTCGTGTAGCGATGATATAATTCCACATCAGCGGCAAAAAATCGTTCAAAAAAAAAGATCAAATTCTGTTTCTTGACAGAACTTAAATCGCTGGAGAAATAATCGAAATAAATTTTACGACACAATAAATCGGCATAAAATCTTCTGAAAGTAAATTAGAATCTGTTCTCCGAAAGAGCAATATTTTAAACTAGTTCGCTGCAACATAGTTAATCATTCAATATAACGTAGAAATTCTTCATAGAATTCGGACGTCGATCGTGTAGTTTTTGTACTTTCGCCTGAAAGACGATAATGACGATGATGGTGGTCCTTGATGTTGAGGGACCAGCTGGGTACGGCTTTGTATCTTTGGGGAAAAAACCACAAGGCCGAAACTGACCCTTCTTTCCCTTGTCAGCCGTCCCCCTCAGGAACATAATGCATATCATCCATGGTCCACATTCACACATTTCTCTTTCTCTCTCTTCCTCTCTTTCTTTCTTTCTTGAGTCTCGCACGCGATGGTGGTGGGTGATGCTAGATGGATGGTGATGGATTTAAGTCTTGTGCATGATTGGCGGTGCTCGGGCTGACGCCGTTCACGAAGTAGCCCGCAGCTTCTCCAACGCGGGCACCAGTGATTCCTCCAAGGAGGGTCCACAGCTTAGCCCGCACTCACCGATCCATCTTGCTTTACCACTCGCATGGGACTGTAAAGAGAACAAGCACCATAAGTAAAGTTGTGCTTTTTGGTTTTTTGATCAAAATTAAGGAAATTTAAACAAAATTTTAAAAATATACCAAAGCCAAAATTATCATTAAATTAAATTAACATTACAATATTTGGATCCTTGTCCCTCGATTACTCAACAAAAATATTCATGTCTAATGGACGACGAAAGATTAAAATGAAAATAGATAATGAAGATAAGTGACATTAATGAGAGGGAAATCGGCGGAAGTTAATGTCAAGTCGGGTGAATTTATCGATTCTTCTCGGAGAAGGGAGGGTCACAGAGCGGATATTTACCATGGTGAGGTCGCGCTTCCACGCGGTATGGCAACGACCGTCACAAAGCGGGCATGGCCGTTGCAGGGAGTAGCCACCGCACTCGCTGCAGTCCAGGGAGACGTGCTCCTCGCTCCACGACACCCCGCATCTATGCAAAGAACAAGATGACGATAATGAATCATTCCGATACGAATACACACCCAATTATGATAATAATGGAGGCGTGTGATGCGGTAGACGTGTGACCCAACGACGCGATTCGCTTGCGAGAGAAGTCGACGATTTGCATCGCAAAACTACCGTTGAGACAGTCTTTCAAGGAAACAAGGTCATGCAGTTTAACAATTCGATCAGTGTCATCCGGTTTTTTTACGCAAGATTTGCTCGTTGATAAAACGTTGATAATGTTGATATATTGCGAAATTATACAGTTGAGATAATCAATAAATATATCGCTTGTTTGCTAGAAAGACATAATTTAAAAAATTGTCATTTTTTAATTAATTACAGAAAAAGAAGAGAAACATAATGAGAAAAAAAAAGAACATACTTTTATTCTTCTACAAATTATTATACCAAAATTACGTTTTAAGATTAATATTCCAAAATTTTAATGATTCGAAACATTCAAACTCATTTCCTAAAAAACTTTGTTTCTTATTTTAATTATTTCGATATTATAGCAAACGAACGATATAGGTAAGCGGGGATCTACAATAGAAGTCGTAGCAGTCGTAGAAAATTAATTAATCACAATATCGAATATGAGAAGGATAATCGACTATGATTGGTCAATTTTCTAAGACTTAAGACCCAACGACCGCTACGATTTCTATTGTAGACTCCGCATAACACAGAATTACGACGAAAGAGAATTGCACAACATTATAGATTAATCAATAGAGACGTATTAAAGATTTTATTGAATAAAGACTTGGCTGGATTCGAGGATAAGACTCTTTTCTTGGACGGAAGAATATCTTTCTAGGACGTCGAATATTTTTCATTAATCGAATTACGGTGGGCTATGTGAATATTTTACGAAAATGCCGCACGTTGCACATTTCGTGCTGCATACGCCCGATGTAGGGCATCGATTTACCGGAATAACTGCGTCAACCGTCACCAGATAAACGTTGGGTGGGCATACCTACTAGCCTCGTTTCTTGCATTCCGTATCGATGACTATCTCCCAATCCCAACCCTACGCGTTCGCACGATGATGAGTTGTATCACGTTTTCGTTCTAATGATCTGTATCCAAATTTCAATAGCCAAAAGAAATTTCGTCTCCCGTCGACTTGTCGCGCGAGCCATATATTCGAGCGTATAATAATCTTCATTCAGGGAGGTCTCATTCCTTTTTCCCGAATTGGTAGGAAAGGAGGAATTAAACGCGTCGCGAAATGACGAATTGAAGTCGCCCTGGCTCCGGATCGTACCGGATTCCATTGTATGAACGGCGACGTATCATTCTGTAAGGTTGCGTAATCCCCCGATCAACTCCCACGGTCCGCTGGATCTGCGCGGCCGATTCATACGATGATAAAGAGCAAAAATCAACTTACGTAAAGCAGGAGTTGAGCTGAGCACGCAGCTCCTCGATCGTGAGGATCGTGTCCTGGTACTGGGGATGCGAGCCTTGCAGACCATCGTCCACGCTCCCACACAGGCTGTGACGGGATAGCGAGATGTTGCTTCTATAAACCAAGATCCATGTAGATTAGACGATTACCAATTTTAAGTTGGTGAATTAGTCATATTCAACTTGTGATATTAAACAAATTCGCGGAACCAATTTTTTTTCAAAAGCCTTTTCACCTACTGTAAATCAAATGCAAAAAGTCATCAAGGCAAAACATCGAGGTAACTTTGACTCAAATAGCACGTTAAGCGGCATCTACAATGAGATTTTAAGTCGTAAAACTTAACCTTTAAACTCTAAGCCGTAAGATATTGTCAAGTATTCTTCTCATATATTCAATTGTAATTGATTAATTTCCTACGGCTTAGAGTCTAAAGGTTAAGTTTTACGCTCAAATTTTCATTGTAGACACCACATTAAAGATACTTTAAGACGTCTTCTTGTTCCGATTTTGGACATGCGTACTGTCTATTTTTTTGAAATAAAAACTTAAAACTTTGAAAGTCACTCCACATTTTTACGTTGCACGCTAAAGACTATCACTCTTATTTCCTCATATATAAATCTCTTCTAGTTTTATCTATTATATTAGATTCATAAAATAATCTCTATTCCATTTGAATCTATAAAATAAATTTGTTGATGTTTTTCTCTTTTTTTCTTTCTACTATGACTCTTTGTCGCTCCGATTTCAAATACATATCCATGCAGCAACGTGAGAAAAATCAAGTCTGATGTAACTGTTTCATATAATTAAGACGTTATTGTCCTACTTGTGCTTTTCAGTCTCTGCTTAATGCGATAAAGAAGCTCTTAATGTTAATTATTCGATTTTTTATAAAGTTTCTGTTACATAATGCCGACTTTAATCTTTCTTGGGGAACTCTGTATCCATCGAAAAGAGGAACGTGGAATGCAAGGGTCTGCGCAAGAGCTCCTTCGAACAAATTTCAATATCCGTGAAGACACGCTCCGTGATTCCCATCACGGAGGTATGATTTATCGGGGCGAGGGAATCGCGAGTAAACCGCCTTGAACCTGGCGCGGCGGCCGAAGAAAGAGCGCGGTACGACCGGGCTGCGATTAGCTCGAATGAACGTGCACATATGGTAATCAGGAAGGAAAAAAATCACTTCTTTCACGTGACGGCAACGTGAGCGCACGCGTTCGTATTTTGTGCGCGCGGCACTGCAATGCAAACGTAGGACACGGGAAGAACAAAGGCCGCGGGAACAGAGGTTTTTCTGAATGACCGTAAATCGCAAGAAAAAGATTATTGAATATGGAATTGCGAACGCTTCTGCGTCATATTCCTCTGTCGATTATACAACTCTTTAATTAAATAGCACAAGTAAGAGATCCTTTCTCGTACACGTGTAATATTTTTTAATAAAAGTATCCTAACTGTCTGAAGTATATTCTAGGACGGCGGCGAAAATTATTGAGATTTTTTCCCGCAACTTGTCCGCCGCGACGTAGCGATAATTATGGAAGACGTATAGGGATAATTGTAGAATACAGTAATTATCCCCGAGGGGATTTCAATTTGCGGTTTTAAAACGACTACGCGATTTGATTTAATTGGCCGGCAATTTGTTACGATTCTGCATAAAAGTTTAACATTTTTCGATAGAACATGAGAGATTACGAAATAATTGAATTAATAACACCAATCTTCGTTTATTATTTTCGTTCAATTCCAATTAATTCGTTCCAATTAATCGCAATACTTTTTTCAATTCTCAACGGATGAGCAACGATTTCAATTTCATGACCGTACAGTGGTGTCGAATCACCTTCAACGCCCCACGATTGACGTTTCCGGCGTTTGCAACGCGTTGCGTAGGAAGTGGAGTATATGGTGCACGTTCCGACGGAAATGTGGAAAAACGAAATCGCCGGCTTGGCTAACGCCACACAAACCTCAAAACATCCCTCTTTTCGCGCCTCACATTTAAAATTGCACTCCTCGTATCTACCGTTAATTGGTTGCGATGAAATTAATTACTGAAATTGGTTATTATAATGATCGAAACTTGTAAGTTTCAATTCTGAAAACAAGATATTTATCATTTGCCTCTTATTAAGCGACATTTTCATATACATTTCCATACATGTACATGTATAACGTAAATTTTACAGGATGAGCCCCCGCTCTGACATTCTATTTAGCATGAAACGCCGCGTATGTGCTCCGTTTTTCTCCTCATACAGAAATCGAAGGTCATATTTTATATTGTGAAAAAATTAGGCGCGAAGGTCGGAATATTTCAATTAGGCGATCTAAAATTCATATTAGTACCGCGATAGTTTCTCGCGGGAAAATCTGCCTAATGTCGATGCATTCCGTGACAAAAAAAACCCCGTTCGTGCCAGACACGATATTTGCAATTATAAGTCGCGGTTATCCGCTGCGATACAATTTGATGTCCGCGAAAAAAGATTAGTTCGACGATGATTTTACTCACCCGTGACGGGAAAGGCTCTCAGTGGTAGCTGATTGTACGGAAGTAACCGACATGTTACACTGGTAAGTGGATACTGAAACATGAAATGAGAAAAATATTTATAATCTCTGTTAAAGTTGGGAACGGTATTAATGTTTAAAAAAAAAAAAACGGCAGACAGACTTTTTCGAGTTGAAAAGATTAACATATCAATATCTTTATAATTATGAGTTAAAAAAGATATTCTTAACAACCTAAATCTTTTGGCCAAACTATAAACTCTTTTCAGAACTACGTATGAATAAATAAAAAATACTTCGCTCCGCTTTATGTCAAATTTTAACAGAATTTTAGTTGAAAGCTCAGTTTATACGTAAGAAAAGAAAATCCATTTCAACTGGTTCAAATATATTGTACATATGACGGAAAGAGTAATGAAACTAATTTCCATAGAGACGAATAAATTTCGTTTAAATATAAATAAATAATTTAGTCTATATAAATAGTAAGACTCTTTTTTCTCTCTCTTTCTCTCTCTCTCTCTCTCTCGGAAATAATTTCTAAGATTTTCTGCTGCTTTATATGTGCATATATAAATAAAAATATCGACAAATAAATGAGCCGCAGGAAATCCCCGGAATCCAATAATGTCGATAAGGGATCTTAAAATATTGACGCCACGCGCGTGGCGGATATGATATGATCAGGCACGATTACAGGTAAGTATATAAAAAATTACGCTGCGATAAATCGCGTCATAGAAATTTCAATAAAATCGGCATAAAAAAGCCAAGGTTAATAATTATTATTCGGCGTATACACCTTTCACTATACTTCGTGGTGCCCAATTAAAGTACGGCTTCAGAGTACATAAAAGTTTATTGCAATATCGCGGAGTCATTTCCGTTTATTCTCCTAAACGACCGCGTAAAGAAATGAAATTTTTCCATGCCGCCGCTACCACTGAAATTTAATTCAGTGTAATAAATTTTCAATTTTGAATGTCAGACAGTTCCGTGATTGTTTATAGAGATTATCTGTGTAATACTCATGTATTACAGATTTAACGTGTTTAAGGTTAGTGATTTATTAGAGTTATACAAGAGCCTATAGGATCGTACACAATGACAACGAGCGAAGGGCATCACGAGAACGGATTTCATCGCGATCTCACCTTGGCACGAAACGCTTTTGCTTTCTACGAGAAAGTACATTAACGGGCCGACATACGTGGTCTGCAATATTGACGAAGCATTTCGATTTTTGTCGTTGCGAAGCGAAAGGCGAATAGGTGACTCGAATTTATCTACTACTAGTTTAGTGTGACATCGCGATCGGCTCACATCCAGAAAGAAAATTATATTTCATGCGATACAAAAAGTAAACGCAGCTAACAATTCCGAGCGTGTATCTTATGTCTCGTAAAGTTCTGTATATCAAAGTAGCGCATTCCTTTGATCTGAGCCAAAATGTCGACAGCCTTCCTATTGGCTATTTCGATCGCCATTTGTGACCCAGTCCAATAAGCGCTTAGTATTATTGGTACAGGGTATGGTTAGTAAATAAAAAATGGAGAACCTATGCGCTACTTTGATATATAGAGCTTTAATGTCTCGTCGCATTTTTCGGTTTTTTTCTCTGATTCGTAGTATAATAATAAAAAAAATTGTAAAGTCGATAACAACAACAATTATATATCAAGTTGAATAAATCTGTGAGAGAATCGTTACAAAATCATGGATTATATTATTACGAAATTAGCAATTCTGTGATCATTTGAACAGATAGAGAAAGTCAAGGATTTTCTAACGTGGAACTACTAAGCAATTCCTTAACGAGAGGATAATAAACGGCGTCGACAAGGAGCTTGTTCGATAATGATGCACAGTATTAATAAATAACGTCGTAACCTACTATCGGCATTCGCTGTAATTACAAAATAAAGGTATCAACAGAAATGCTTTACCGTACATACTAAGATGATGCAAAATGCTTCCTACGGAAACAAATTTCTTACTGCTATTGCTATTTTACAATCTTTTATATTTTCATTAGTTCATATACAAAAAATAAGATTATATTAACAAAAAGTAATAAAAATATATATATAATTAAGTCTGTGAGAAACCGTGTCGAGCCAAACTATTTTTAATCAACACAGGGAATGAACTGCAGTTTTGCTGAGGGGGTATCTAAAAATTTAACTATACAGACACAAAGCTAAAAATAATTTTGTTGAACTATCAAAACATTTACGTCGGGTAATTGCTAGGACGTTAAAATTTTTTGCAACATTGTTCATTATGTGCTTGAATTTTCAACATAATTATTCTGATAATCCGACAAAATTATTTTAAAATTTATATATCTATACCTAAATTTTTAGACACTTGAGCGAAATTGTTCTACTGTGCAGTATTACAGAGAAAATTGCATTCAAAATAAAGCAGTATGTACAACGGGTTAACCCTGTTCCATTCGAGAATTAATCGGAACAGATATCTCGCCGCTCCCACAAAATCATTAAACTTAACTTTAAATAGATAGGTATGTACACACACACACACACACACACAATATGTATATATATATATCAGTAGGAGAGTAGTTGATTCCATCAGAAAAAATTAAATGCAATCGGTTTCTCGGAGGTCTGGTATTACTTGCAAATATCACGCTATCGATTCGCGTTTCGTCGCGGGTCATATTAAAAGTATACACGACGTCGGATCGATATCTCGCGTCGTCGCAACCTAGTACTACTACGTCGCGGACAAACCGATCGATTTACATTTGCATTTATTAACCCCCCAGGGAACAACCGTCATATGGCACTGCGTTGCGCGTGTTCTGGATTCTCGTTAACCGCGATATCATAACGTTGATAAAAACTCAGTCATCCTGTGCGAATTCTCGGCATTCCTCGAGACGCGTCGATAATCGATAACGCCTACAGTCGAATGTCGAATTGACGTGGCGCACAAGAACGCAAAGTCCAAGACCGTCTATGATCGTTTCAATAATGGCAATCGAACGGAAGTGGATTAAGCGACCCGCTGGAGCCTACCTCGATAACGCGAGGTAAGGATAATGCCAAACTATGAGAGCTGCACCGATAAGTTTATCGCATACGCGTATACATGACGTGCGACGCGATACGAAAACATTATATCCATATGATTTGCGTTTTCCGGCAACTTTCTCAGAATTGCGGACTATTTCATGAAAATTTAAGCGGGCCTTGAGCACTTATTAACAAGTATAAAATCGTGTATAATACGACAGTTACGAAACTAATTGTCTGGATAGTGCGCAACATGTTATGTCGATAAAAAATTTCTTTAAACTAATATAACAATATTAATTTCACAATTAGTTGTCCAAATATGAATAATAATTTATATTTATATTTGAATTAATAAATGCCATTATGTATACGTAAAATCACGGTTTTTAACACCCGCATAACGTTTCGAAGAATCAACATAATGACGCGCTGTTTGGACAATTTGTTTCGCAACTACAATATATATATGTATACATGAATTACTAATAAACATTTATTTAGCACAAATGTTTTCTTTTGTGTGTTTCATTTTTTTTTTTCGTATACAGGCGTGTTTCCCTTTTGGAGTTATTCGTGATTCACATTGTATTTATGATTCTTATTATTGACTGTTTTCGCAAAATTACCAATCTCGAGCAGTTATCGTTTTTCTCGTTCAACAAATTACGTATAACTGGGATGTGTCTATGTAAACAGAGTAATTTTGCGGTCATCTTATATATCTTGTCTGAGTTTCTTGTAAAGACAAAAAAAGACTGCATTAATCACTAGGAAAATATTTATGTTCACGAAAAAAATTCATTCATAATAAATTATTATAAATGAAAAAAAAAATGCCTTTTCATTCGGAGTTCACATAAGATTTATTTACAAGGACTATATAGGTGGCACGGATTGGGTACGGACAATTTGGAAAGACTGAGAACCGTTAGTCGTCTCATTTTGGTAGATGCGGTAATTTCGGAAACCAAGTCGTTGTTGGAAACATAGTTGCGCGTCATTTGAGCGATGCCAAGATCTGATGACGATGACTCAGTGAGTTAAATCGCGGAGGTAACGCAATTTCTCACGAGACGCGGCGCCAAGACTTCGACGAACTTCTGATTTTGCGAATTATTGATATTGCGCGATAACGAAAAATAACACTGCGAAAAACAAAAATGCGAATGAAAGACACCAGATGAAAGGGATATCATAGAGAGGGTAAAATGGAATATTCGCAGTGGCGTTCAAACCGCGAGATTAGCGGGTAATGTACTATTGCGAAAATAGAACTATATAAGTTGCAAATATAAAGCTGTGGACTATAAATAATTGGATTATATTAATACCGCTCGAATGCATGCATGCATGTATTATATATACGCATACGTACGCATACTACAGTGTCTAATTCTTTACTTTTGCGCGCTATTCTCGGAGAGTGGATAATCTCATATAAGAAGATCGACTTATCGCTGACTAAAGTCCAGCGACAGAAAAGCAAAACGAATAAGTCATGAACAATAATTTTGCATTAAAATTTGCCGAGGCATTGTTCAATACGCAAATTATTCAATACGCGAAACCTTTCGAAAAAAATATGTAAAAATTATTACTGGCTTAATTGCCAGGATTTTTAATATCGGAGATATTCTGAAGAGCTTAAGAAATACTAACATAACTATTTCACTCATTTTTTTCCCGGTAGCATACTTAAGTCTAGACTAACGTCACGGTTATAAATCATTCTGTCTGTCTTCTACGACGACGACGATGATGACGCCTCAAATCGTGGAGCAGATTTCTCGAGGCGGAAGAGGATATCTACGTGCGCGAAATGAATGACGCCATAATCGTCAACGATGATACAGATAACGTCGATTCTACGATGTTATACGACGACGCTCTCGCTTGGAATTATTTATAACGTCTCTCGAAGAAGCCCCTCCGGCGTGTGTCGGTTCACGATAATGTTTGTGAAACCGGCCGACGTCACTCTTAAGAAACAATATACAAACGTTACGCTTCGGAGCCATCGCGCAACC